CAAAAAAAATAAAATATATTCGAAATATATAATTAATTACATAAATTAATTAAATTTATTAAAATATATAAATTATTATATATTAATCAAATTATAATTTAAATAATAAATATATTATTAAAATTAGATATAATAAAATTTATTTATAATTTATAAATCCGTCGATCCCATCGACGACAATAACATATATATCAAAAAAATAAAAATAATTAATTATAAAATAAATAATAAAAAAATATAAAAATTAAATAATAAATCAACAAATAAATCAAAAAATTAAAAAAAACATACAAAATAAAAAAATAAAAAATAAAAAAAAATAATTAATTAATTTCCCAATACAAAAATAAATTAATCACAAATATAATTAATATTATTAATATCAATATATTTAAAAAAAACTAATTAAAAAAATAATAAAACCAAAAAAATATAAAAAATCAATATAAAAATAAAAAATAAAAACAAACAAAAATTTAAATATAAAAAACACACCAAAAATAAATATTATTCTTCGAATTTCACTAAATAAATAATTTAAAATTTATTATTTAAATATTAAAATAATTAATCGGCATTAATCGGAATCGGACACATTTCGAAGGTCCAAAACTAGTAAATTTAGGAATTATTTCGAATTAAAAATAAATATAATAATATATATATAATATTAATCAACCCTCAATAAATTTCGAATGGATATTCTAATATATATTTAAAAAAAATATGTAAATTTTACCATTTACACAAAAAAAAAGTCCTTTGTAAAAAATACCAAATATCATATTAATTTAAAAAAACACCTAAACACTAATAATTATAAAATATTAAAAATTCATTTAATCCTTAATTTTTATAATTATTTTAAAAATCCAAAATTTACAAATCTAAAACTAGTTTCTAATCACATCAAAAAATAATATTAATTATTATAAGGAGAAAATAAGGAAAATTAAAAAAATGCATTCAAGCCTTTATTAAGGTAATATATCATTATATATTTATTGTTTTTTTATTTATGTTTAATTTTTAAATTAATAAATTAAATATTTATTTTATTTTTTTAAATATAAATAAAATATACAAAATTATAAATAATAAATTAAAAAATTATATTAAAAAAATATAAATAGATATAAATTAGAAAGTATTATAAAATATATTAATATTATATAGGAATAATAATTATATAGTAGTATATATTATTGTTATTGTTATATAATATTCCTATAAATAGTTATAGACCACCCGTCAGGTTTTTAATATAGGAATCATATTAAAAAATTAATTTCCGTGCCTATTTTGGGGCTTATATTGGATCATGTTAACCTATCTTAAGTCACAAAATCTAAAAAATGGGAAAGCCACAAAATAATGTAAATTACGAGGCATCGGTAACGGAGGGAGGGCCGGCGGCAGGCGGGAGATTCTCTCTCCTACGGAGAGGAAAGAAGGCCTACGGCAGTGCCACGGCCGGGGGGTCTGAGGGCCCCTGGCCGGATTATTTTCTAGGAATTCAAAATAATTTTATTGATTTCATGTTATTTTCTATTTTTCAAGGTATTCTTCTTTGAAGCCAATCTTTTGCCTGGATTTCAAGAAGAACAAACTATTGGAATTCAAAAAAGTAGCGATTTAACTTGCCTCCTCCAGCATATCCGCCGACAAAGCATGGCCCACCCCGCGGAAGGCCAAAGAGCGAACACCTAGTCAATTCATGTTGAGCCCTTCCACAAGTCAGTGGTTCTTTTGCTTCCCATGAAATGATGCGTCATTGTCCAATGTTCCAAGCTGTGAAATTTAAAATATCTCAGGATTCTGCTACACCCAAGCTTCCGAAGTTCGTCGGTGCAAGTAGTGGCAAAGCCGATTGGGCATAGTGTGTCCTTTGACACGGTACTTTGGAGGCTTTGATCTGCTATCACAGTGAGCAAGTCGCAACTTGCACGGTACTCCAACATGGACGGAACGCAAAGACGAATGAAGCATGATCACGGTATGCCATAGCTCCTCTCGGCCATGACCTCAACTCGACAACATGCCCGTTGGAGCATAATTACCATGATTGGGATCTTGACGTTCTGGATTTTATCGGCTGTGTCCAAACTGAGGCCGAGTCATTGAAGCACCTGCAGTCCATCGGCTCCTGTGGCCCAGTCCTGCTTTACTTTGATCTGTACTCCATTTCGAAAGCCAACAATTTCAATTAGATCCAAAACATTAACTCAAAATGACTCAAATATATCAGAATACAAATTAACAGTGACATGATAAATGCACCAACATGTAAAAATAACGCATCAGTCCGACTGAGGCCCACTGAGTGCTTTTGGTGTTGCCCAACCACCAGTAAAACTGAGACCTGCCAAGTTTGACACCACCTGAAGCATCTGTCATCAATCACTGACCACCACCTGGTTCAAACACGTTAGACTTTATTTCATTCGACCAATCCCTCAAGTTTCAAGCAACTGAAAACTTCAAAACAATGAAGATAATGTAGTGACTCAACATCGTATCTAATCTATGTAGAACATAGTAGGTTTAATATGGTTTAATAATATGAGAAAAACAGACAAGAAACGCTTTGCCCCATGCTGCTACATCATATCGTATCTCAAGTGGTCTCTGCCCAGGTCTCTGCCCACCTTCCGTGCCAAAAAGCAACAAACCTGCAAGACATCGCGGAACCTCGCACCAAGACGCAGGACGCATCAGGACGCACCAAGATGCACCAAGTGGTTGTGACAGGCTGAAGTAGTCAAGTATTCTCGCACCGTCGCTACCAGCTAGTACCCGGCACGCGCCGGGGCGGAAGTTTCGAAACTAGGAAACGACTCTAGGAAAAGGTTTGCTTATACTAATTGTTTGGGAGCTGGAAAATGATGAGATGAACTGTGCAACAACCGAAACACGCGATGACATGAAATGAACTGGAATGAAATAATTTGTTTCCTGGGAATGAACGAGAGAAGGAAAGAATGAAGGAAAGAATGAATGAATGAAGAAATGAACGAATGAATCAATGAAGGAATGCATGAAGGAATGAAGGAATGAAGGAAGGAATGAAAGAATAGTATGAAATGACATGACACGACATGAAACGAAACGAAGCCAAATGACACGAAATGAAACGAAACGATACGAAATGAAGTCAAATAAATGAATGATTGACTGACTGACTGACTGCATGAATGAGTGAAGGAAGGAAGGAAGGAATGAGTGAGTGAATGAATGAACGAATGAAAGAAGGAACGCATGAACGAATGAATGAATGAACGAATGACTGAATGAATGAACGAATGAAAGAATCAAAGAATGAAAGAATAAAAGGATGAAAGAAAGAAAGAAAGAATAAAAGGATGAAAACATGAAAGAATGAAAGAAGCAAAGAATGAAAGAATGAATTAAGAAATGAATTTTATAAAATATATATATAAATGAATAATAAAAGAATGAGTAACAAAAGAAAAAGTAATAAAAGAATGAATGAGTGAGTGAGTGAATGAATGAATGAATGGATGGATTGCTGGACGGATGGATGGAATGAAGGAGGGAATGAATGAGCGGCTTCTTTGCTGCGGCGCCTCTTCTGTCATCTACGTCTTCTCTCTGTGAGCAGCCCTCCCAAGGTGACTCTTCTCTAAGCTACCTCTTCTGTAGCTTCTGCAGTTCTGCAACCCAATTCTTGTCTTCGAGCAGGCAGCACATGTCTCGTTGCAAGTCCAGCTGCCATTCAGCACAGCAACAGATTCGCAATATCATCTAATTATAAAACTACCTCTCGGGCAGCTGTTGCAATGCGTTTAGCAACCTCACACTGCAATCGCGCCTAGGAGCGTCGCAGCATCACTCATGCTTTGCTGTGCACAGCCGTGCCAATGCGATTTGTCACAACCGGTTGCAAACCCGCGTAGCAGGAGCGTCGCACCGAATCGACCAACGTTCGCGCAGCGCTGACAATGGGGACGGTTCCGTGCTACTCCGAGCATTGCGTTTTTTCGACTTTTATGTGAAACCGAGCTCTCGCTACAGTGTGGTGCACACATTTTACCGACCTCATCTTCCAAAAGTGCTCCGAACGCCTAAGTTGTTTAAAATTTTGAAGTGCAAATCGAGCTCTCGCTACAGGGTGGTGCATATTTTGCCGACCTCATCTTCAGAAAGTGCTCCGAAAGCCAAAGTTGCTTAGCATTATTGAAATGCAAATCAAGCTTTTGCTACCGTCCTGTGCACTTTTTGTCAACAACTTTCCCAGATCGAGCCTACACCCGCGGAAACAGCGACCCCAGAAGCCACTTTACCCGAAAAAAAAACTCACAGTTCGCGCCCAAGAGTGCTTCATGACATGATGAACATGATGATGACAAGACTGCCCCTGGACATTCGTCCGTAACTTGAAAGATTTCGAACTAAACTTCCTTTGAACAGAAGCATAATTGGATGCGAATCTAGATGCATAATCACCTATATCAACTACAAGTAGCGCCAGTGATTCTACGAATTTATCCAACTGTGACAAGTCGATACTGAATGTTCGACCGAAACCTTGCCTGCAGTGCCGTCCATGCGGCCACGGTTCCTCCCATAGAGAAGCCAGCGAGCACCACCCGCTCTGGTGGGATGCCCCAGTCCTGACCTTCACAGCCAGATGCAGCAAGCAGTTTGTAAATGTTTGTAAAATCATTAAGAGGATTTAAGAGCAACCAAAGGAGGCCTAGAAATAAAAGGTCTGATGCAGTGAGATCAAGCATGCTGACTGGGCGTGCCATCCAGCCCCTCAAAAATCCTGCTGCCAATAGCAGAATAAAAGGCCGCCTTGAGAGCTCAACAAAGCCAGCAGTTCTGATCGGCAAGCCTGGCAGCAGCTGTCAATTCCGCAGGTCGTGTTCAAGCTAATCTAGTCACACAGTATCTGTTGACATTCATATCTGTTCAGCGTGTCTTCAAGTCAATGTCGATGAAAACCTACTCGCCTCCAAGGACTCTGCTTTGCGTGCTGAACGAGTATGGTCAAACCAGGCCTGAAAGCAATTTGATCATGAATTATGTTACAACATGTCTCTATAGGACTTGTCCTAAGATTTGTAAGTGAAACAGGCAAGCCAATGTAACGATGCGCAATATTCAGAAATGTCAGTGGATACTCTAGTTTTTCTCCTTGAGACTGTCGATACCTGGTCAAGCTTCTTAAAAAGCCTGACCCGAATCAAAAGGCAATTGGTTGATGCTGCTGCTGTTGCTGTGCTTGTATGGCCATAAGATCATGTTCAATACATCTCATTTCATCTACCAATTGCCTGGTCCAGCGTGAAGGCTTGCCGGATAAAAAGCAAAACGATAATTTCCATCTTGTCCGACAGAAACAAGCTCATATCCGGATATTATATATATATACACATATCCTGCAACATCCATTGTTCGTGAGGCTCATCACACTAGTTCTTCAGCTCCTGGACTGCATTGCCTACAGAATCAACACCATTAGCGACGATTAGAGCAGCCTTTAAAAAGTGGCTGAGCGCAGCTGAGCGCTTTAAAGGTCGAGGCCGAGCTGCATCACTTATGCAGCAGCCCTGGAGGCAAATCCCAATCTTACTGTCAAAACAGGTCCGATTCAAAAGCACAAAAAAAAACATTTCACACATATGAACCATATCCAATGAGCACATCTCCTTCTTGGAGAGTTTGTGATTTCTGGACAGCGGCTTTCTGTACTCAAGCTGCAGCTGGCTTAGGAAACATTAAGCACATGCCACATTGCAATGGAAAAGGGTGATACTGGGAGGCACAGGCATTCAACGTCCATCCGGTTCAATCTGTTACTTGGCGCTGCAAGCCTTGCCCTGGTAAGCGCCCTGCATATCCTGCGTAGCATCCTGCGCATCATCATCATAAAGGTCCTCCGCATTCCTCCGCTCTGTTCGCATGGGACCTGTCTTGATCATGGGGCTTAGCTGCCCGCACCTGCATGGAGATATCTGGCAAAAAGTCGTTCCCACACTGCCTGCCACTGCTCGGAGAGCGTGATCTTGCTCCATCGCTGAGTGATGAATAGTCCGAGTGGGAATGTTTTCCGCCCTCATCATGCCCAGCCTCATCATGCGAAGCAGATGAGGACTGGCTGCTGCTAGAGTAGACCGAATAGGCTTCATAGTCATCCTCATCTGGTGCGTGGCTTCCAGGACGGCCGGATGAGCTCTGTGCACTCTGTGTTGGCCCATTTTTGTTAGCCACAGGAGCAGAGCTACTTGAACTGGGATCTGCTTTGGGCGGGGGCAAACTGCCTTGGGATTGCACGCCACTGACCGTCTTTTCTTGT